TAATTAATTAAGACTTGAACTGGATCCGCGTTAGGTTGAGATATATTGCGAGAGCCGTCGTATGCAATTACTCCCTATCACCGTCATGGCATTTGACTCTTAAGCATGAGAAAAGTATAGACTCTTTTATTAATTAATAATTACTTTGATTTGTTCGGCGGATTCTTCGGGATCCTTAAACCGACACTTTGGGTAGTTATGTAATTAATAGTTAGAGGGTTATATTTTCAATATTTGCATCATTGCTACTTGTATTTATTTTGTATTGATTATGGTTGATCACAAAGTAAATTCGAAGGCCTTCGTGTGTTTTTAGACAAAATGATTTATTATATATTTATTTATTTAAATTATTATTTTTGTCAAACAAATGTTTTATTGTGATTGAGCCAGAAATAATCAAAGGTACCAAAATAAATATATTAATTAAGTAGTCGGATTGATGGCTATATTTATCCGATAACTAATTATGCATAGAGGGGTCAAAGTGCAATATTGACTTAGAGGTTATTTATTATTTAATTGGAGTTCAATTAATTTCTTTTAGTGGAGTAGAAATTAATTTATGAATTAATTGAATTGGGTCCATGGACCGGGCCAATTATTAATTCATTGTAGCCAATAAAATAATAGGCCCAATGGATTCTCACTCATAGCCCAACTTGATATTGGAATCATATTAGATTTGAGACATATGAATTAGAGATGGAGAAGGATTTGTTGTTTCCTTTTCTTTATTTTTATGTTGCCTATAAATATACATGGTCTATGTATATTTTAGGGGGTGATTTTTATGAGAAGGAAAAAGGAATAAATTTTCTCTCTCTAGAAAATTAGGGTTTATGTTCTCATCTAATGGAGGCTCCCACAAGCCTAGTTTTCCAAGGTCATTCAAGGAGGCTTATGAGTGATTCCTAAAGGCAAGACCATTACCAAGAAGATGGAGATCCATGAAAAAGGTGTCTAGCAAAAGGGATCTACAATAAGTGAGAACATTCACTTTAGAGGAGAGATCTAAGGTTTACTCAAACCTTGATGTAAGTATTCAATCTTTTAATTGAATGATACATCATGTTTTATTTTTGCATAAAACTTGTCTCTATGTAATGAATCAAGATCTATGAATTTAAATCCCTCGAAATTTTTTTAAAACTAGCACGTTTCCTAACACAAGCATGCCCCTCTCTCTCTCTGTGCAACTGCTAAACTTGCCCTCTCTCTACAACTGTAAACTACAAAATCTACAAGAATTAGAAGTTCAAAATCTATATATTTTAGATCTGTCTACAAGAATCAAAAGTTCAAAACCCATATCGGCATATCATTTCATATTGTTCAAAAAATCAAAACACCGATATCTTTCAGTTTCTATCGCCCGCTGTTCCAATTCGGGTTTGCAAGCTTCAGACGCTGTCTGTCAACTCTGGTTAATGGTTATCATGGAATCGAACTGGTTCTAATCTATACGGTTTTGGTTCCGGTTCCGGTTCCATTTTTTAGGAACCTTTGTAAACGGTTCCAGTTTCTGGTTCTGACCGGAACCGTAAGGAACCAAACCGTGTGCACACTTAGGTTGCGGCACTATATATAAATCTTAAACGAAATTTGATATTAGATCTTCAAATTAGACCTCTAGACATTTGTGAATATGGTGATTGTTTGTCTATTATACCCAAATATGTATATATATATATATATATATATATATATATATACCCATTTTACTTGTTATCATGTATAACATACTTGAGTTTTGTCCTAACTTGTAAATTATGAGCCTTGAGGGATATTTATATGTAATTTACTTCAGTGTCCCTTTTTTTTTGGTAAGTATATGTGTGTTCTCTATGCATATTTAATTTACTTTGGTATTCATTTATATGCATATATGTATATTACTCTCTATAATTTGATCAAATTAATATCACTATAATTAACAACAAACAAAAAAAAAACCTCTAATGGAAAGATTGTGATTATATCTTTATGTTCCAGATTCATTCTTAAATATATTCTTCAGGTTTGAAACACACATATGTACATATGGACACACTCATGTAACAAGAAGAAAATATGGAAAGATAACCCAACTTCCTGAAAATAATACTAATAGCCGAGTATACTCGTACATATATATTTTTTGGGTAAGTGCACGTATATATTTTGAGCAGTAGTCTGTTAAAATACTCTTTTGTGTAAAATATATCATGTGTAATTTTATTTTTATTTCCAGCAGTCTGTTAAAATAAACTGTCACGTCATCAATATGTAAAATTATTGTGTATTTTAGAGCATCTCTAACCGTTGTGTATATTTTTTTTGTGTAAATCTGATGTGTCATAATTTAAGTCATATAAAGCGGGAGCGTGAGAATGGCAAAATTAAGTCATAAGCAGTGAGAATTTAAGCGGGAGTGTGCGCAAAGGATGAGAGCGATACCTGTTAAGAAGGATTATGTGACTTAGGTTACAATTGATTTACACAAAAATTTTGGATTATTTATTTTTAACTCCGATAGTTGTTTTATACCTTTTGTACAAAAATATATCCCCAATAACGACCAGCTAGTGTCATACTTAGACCCCACATAATTTTTATAAACTTACTTTATTAATGGAATGAGAAAGATGGAGGAGAAAGAAAATATGCCGATATGGCTGTGTAAAAAGGTTGTGTAAAATTCATAACAATTTTATACATTGATATCGTGACAGTGTATTTTAACAGACTACTCGACATAAAAAAAAAAAAAAAAAAAAATTACACATCATATGTGGGCAGACTGCTAGAAATGCTCTTATACAACCTTGTTACACAATCACATTAGCATATTTTCTTTCTTCTCTATTTTTCTCATTCCATTAATGAATTAACCGTAAACAACCGCTGCTAAAAATAAATAATCCAAATTTTTTGTGACACATCAAATTTACAAATATATATATATATATATATATATATATATATATACACACACACACACACACACAACGGCTGCAGATACTCCATAAATGAAATAAACATTGACTTTTATTGTAATACATAATCATAATAAGGAGATGATGACATAACAAGCTAATAAAAAAGCTTTCTTCTATATCAATAAATATGCTAATTAATTGTCAATTCCAAAAAAATTAGGACATGAACAGCTAATAATATATAAATTATATATATATGATATAGTACTTTGAAAATTAGTGAGTGTTACTATTTTTCATGAACCTTATAATGAAAAAAATTATTTGTTTTGTAATAGTGTAATAGTGTAATGACTAGCCTTAAATATCTATTTGTTTTGTCTAAAATTGCATATCAATCTTACAAGTTTAAAATTATTTTGTACTGACCACATAAGTGAGTAAAAGTTGTTAAATAACTTCACATATTTTTATACCTTAACCCAATTTTCTTTCAAAAATTATCTTTTACACTCCCAAAAATAAGACACGCGTGTTGGACACATATTCCTAGCGTGTCAAAAGACACGTTTTTTTGGTGTATCTGACATGTGTTGGGGCGTGTTCGATGCGTGTCGATGACTAACACGTGTCGGGGCGTGTCCAATGCATGTCGATGACCGACACGTGTCGAATATGGATTCTTCGCCCATTTTAGCGTGTCCATGCTTCCTAGTTGGCCACGGACAGCGACAAGCAACCGTAACTGACGAGAGACTAACTTTTTTCTAGAAGACCGAAACATTAATGGTGTGTTCAATAAAAGTCATGTTCCAACGGATCACACTCGTATTAGTATTTATAGATGAGGTCGTGTTGAATGCAGGAGAGACGATGGAGAGTGAATGAAGATAAAATATTGAAGGGTGTGGTATGTAGTGCCATAGATACATAAAAATGTACATAATAAGGCCGGCGATACTTATCAGGGTGACAAGAATTTTACACATTGATGACATAACAGTGTATCTTAATAGACTTCTCGATAAAAAAAACAAAAAAAAAAAACCCCTAGAGATGCTCTTACACAACCTTTTTACATAGCCACATCAGCATATTTCATTTATCCTCCATTTTTTTTCATTCCAGTGACACGTTAAATTTACAATATATATATATATATATATACACACACACAATGGGTGCAGATACTCCATAAATAAAATAAACCTTGATGGGTATTGTAATACATAATCTTAATGAGAGAAATGATGACATAACAAGCTAATAAAAAAGCTTTCTTCTGTATTAATAAATATGCTAATTAATTGTCAATTCCTTGGAATATTGGATCTTGTATTTCTTGGAGTGATGACCTAACATTGATGTACCTGTTGTTGAATTATGAAATGAAAATATGACTCTTATGTCCTTACAAATGACCCTCGTATTAAGCCTGTTGTCACTTGTCACCATACTCCCTTCCACAAAGCATCATCTATGGTCACAATAAACTTAATTACACTACCATTTTTTTACCAATCATTCGTCAAAATATCGTTGGCCATGGACACCGACTAGTAGCCACATGCGATCGAAACATTAATAGCGTGTTTAATGAAAGTTTTGTACTAACGGATCACACTTGTATTAGTATTTATAGATGAGGTCATGTTGAATGTAGGAGAGACGATGGAGAGTGAATGAAGATAAAATATTGGAGGGCGTGGTATATAGTGCAAAGATAGATACATTAAAATGTACACAATAAGGCCGGCGATACTTAACAGGGTGACAAGATTTTTACAGCTAGTGTCGCACAAGGGCTTGGCCACCGGCTGAGGCATCATAGGGTTTAGGGGTGTCGTGCAAGGGGTAAACTGCGGCCATGTTAATTTTGGTGTGGCCAGCGATGACATGTTTAAACTGTGCTTCACGTTGGTCTTCCATTGCTTGATAAAATCAATCTACCACAGAGAATGGAATACGACTGTAACGACCGAAGGTAATTAATAATTTGTAACAAATAGAGCTTCTTAGACAAGAGTCGCTACAAGAAAAATAACTTTTAACCACGATCTTTTTACCACGGTTCCTCAAGAACCGTGCTAGAAAGGTCCTCTTTCTACCACGGTTAAGAGGTGAATTTATATTAGCGGGTTTTACTGCCGCTGATACTTTGAATGCTTGTCCTCTCCAAAAAAATAAAATAAAAAATATATATATTCAGTAGAGTGATGGCGAGCGACTAGATTAGGAATGGCTATGCCACGATTCCCTCAAGCTGTATCGAACGAAAACTCAGAGACAAATCCACACACCCACACAAAAAAAACCACATACAGTGCTGGTGGATTAAAGCCCTAACCGGTGAAAATGTTTTTCCCTCTCTCCATCGAGCCTCTTTCAGTTGGCCATCAGAGCAAACCCTAACCCCTAAAGAAAAAACCCTAAATCTTGAATCCTCCATTAGAGACACGAAGGTGTGTTCGGCGATTTGGAGACGACCGCTGCTGCTAGGTTTGTTTCCAATCTATTTCTCTCTCTATTTATACACGTATATATGTGTGTGTGTGTGTGTGTTCGCAAAACTTACTCGATCAATTAAAATGGATACATAAATTTTGATTCTTATTCTTCTCACCACTCATCTATGTGATTTTGATGTTAGAGTTGGGCTAGAGGAGTTCAATTTTTGAAGAGGATGCATACGAACATGTTAGGGATTTCAATTTTGTTGATGTATATATGAAATTAGGGTTTATCCCCTTTAAAGGCTTCTGATATTGTTATGTCAATCACCTTTTGTAGGATACTGAACCAAAAGACCGAAAAATTGGGAAGCTTTATGAATATGCTTTGAAAAATCCATTACGAATACCAAATGTACGGCCTAACTTCCCTTTCACTAAGAGGCTATTGTTCTGAAAATTCAATTCATATTGTATTGTCAATTCATGGCTCTATCATAAATCCCGACTCAAGCAAATTCAAGCTTTCTGAATTCAACATTTAAATTTAAATTTGCAGTTACCATATAAAGTTTTCAGCCACTATACTATTCTTTAGTTAACCCATCAATTTTTTATTTTTTTTTTTGAAAGATTTTTCTAGTTACGGTTTCAAATTGAAATTTATCACCTAATAGTCTAATACAATTTTCCTGGCACATTAAGAGACAAGAGAAGCCAATATCTATTTATTTATTTGAAGGCAAGCCTTGCCTTGTGCTCTTAACTTTATGCTCATATTCTTAGTTTCTAGAGTTTTTTTTATTTAATTCAAATTTTCCCCCTGTTGAAATCAAATATTTACTCTAAAATCTTGTAAAGATAATGGAAATATTGATTAAGAAAATGTGAAAAACAATTGAGAATTTGAAGCAATGAAAATATCAATCTCTTGAACCTAATGACAAATTTTTGATAGTTCAAAAATTGTGTTAGACCCAAAAAAGTTACTCTAAAATTTGTAACCTTGGCAAAGTGCCTATGACTTTTTTTGAAGTGACTTCCATTGTTGGTTCTTATACAGATTACTGATTACCTTGAGCATAGATTTTATAAGGATTTGAGGAACGAGCATTTTGGCTCCGTAAAAGTTGTGCTTTGCATTTATAGGAAATTGCTATCATCATGTAACGAGCAGATGTAAGTTTGAAGTTTTATTCTTGAATTTAATTTAGTTATGAATCCTATTTCAGCACTGGTGGATTATTTTTCATCATCATCATATGTTGTGAATTCTTTTTAAGAATGCATATATCTCCTTACATAGTTTTCGTTTCAAATAAATCTATGTAAATTGCCTTGTTCCGAAGAATGAATTTGTTCCAACATTTCTCTATAAACAATTTGCTCCATTAAAAAAATGTGAAGTTATAACCAACCAGCTTTTTTCTTTGATGTATAGTACAAAACTTGGGTTAGGGTGGGGCGGCGACGTCTTTTTTCCTTCTATTTGGGGCATGTAGTATATAGATTACAGAATTCAGAGTACATTTCTAGTTTTATTTTATTTATTTTATTTTTATTTTTTTCAAAGAGTACATTTCTGGTTCAAATTACAACTAAATTAAGATAGATTATATATTTGTTTAATTATTCAGAGGAATCTTCAGAGATACTTTATGGGTGGATTGCTGTGTTTTGAAAGTTGGACTTAATGGTTTTCAATTTTTATTTTTCCTTATCGATTGACGATTTTAAAAAATGGATTAGTACAGTTTTATCATCAAACCACTCGATTTTGTGACATATATAGATTGTAGGTATGGTAGGTTTCGACCTTGTTGTTAATGGAGTGAAATTAATTGAAGAATTGTTAGAATTTAAATGAAGAGCTGTGTTGGAAAATGAAAACAAACATGCTGATTCTAGAACTCAAATCTCAATACTTATAACTATTATCTTTTAAATTAAATTTTGGATATGAAAGTACAATTGTTAATGAGTTTACAGGCTTTTGTTTGGCTCAAATTGATTGAAGTTTGAAATTATTATGGATTTTCAAAGTTGATGTTAACATGCTGTCAAAACTGTTTTGTGAGCATAATTTTTCGTATCTTTTCCTTCAAACCTGATTTAATCGGTAAGAAAATTTATTGATTTAAATTGATAGAAGAAAAATATAGTCTTTAAGCTTCCAATGGACATTGGTTTCATGCAAATTGGTTGAGAATTTATTTTTTTATGAATTTTCAAAGGGAAGTAGGTTTTGCTAGGAAAAACTGTTTCAAATAGATTTTTGGGCTTCCTTCTGATTTATTTGTTTATTGTAGGAAGTTCATGAAACCTTAGTGCGAACTGATCTGATCCATATTTTTTTCCTTTCCTTTGTTTCTGACAGAATGTGCTTCATCTTCATTTTGGTGAGCTTTAAATCTTGTTTGCAAAGTTTGTTTCCGAGGTAAACTTTTGTACATCTCTATAATTTTTGTCAGTGGACTCCTTTGTAGTTTTTTTTAGTTGATTTTTATTGTGGGTATCTGATAGAACAAAGTGATGTTTTCCCAATCCAATCAATGTGCCAACACAGTCTGCCAATTTCTTTATATGAAATTTAAAATTAAAAACTGAAGTGTTACTAAGTAGTGTATATATAGTTTCCCCTAGAAGTGGTAAAGGCTTCTCCTTCTCTCTATAATATTGTAATTATTTTGTGTGTATTTGTTTGTGCGTGCTAAGTTATAATGTGATCACAGTCATTTCTATAATATCTGCGTTAGCATGAGTTGCTTGCTTAACCGTAGTGTTACCATTTTGCATTTCTTTCTTTTAGTAGCTTTTTGGGCGTTTATATGTTCAGATTATGCTGTTGTGCTGTTTTTTGTTATAAAGGTGGAGGGGGCGGAACTGCTGGTTTAGAGAGGTCACGGTGCCATTGGGTTTTTCTTAGTTTGATGATTGCTTTCTCTCATAATAAATTCTCGTCTTTTTTTTTTTACTATAGTGGAATATTTTGTGATTGTATGATGTTTGTTCTTGAATAAAAAAAGTACATCTGAATTTAAATAAGTGAAAGTTCTTAGTGCTTTCGTAATTAAGAAAAATATACCAAAAGAAAAACATCCAGAAACTGTGAAACATATCCTCATTATGCTTATTAATATACTTGAATAGCCAACAATGAAAATATAGTTGTTTCTAAACTCTAAAACACTGGCGTCCAAATTAATGTTGTGCAAGTGTGTGGTCGTCATTTATTTTGTCTATGAGAGGTTGAAATTGAGCTTCTATTTATGGCAGTGTATATAAAAGCAAATGTGAGAGGCAAAAATAAAGAATAAAAAATGCGCCTAAGAACCGAACCATATGTACGTGGTGGTGATAAGGTGAGCTTTAGATCAAAAGTGAGTTTGTTTTTGAATGTGAGAAATTAATTAGAGTTAGGTCAATCCCTTAAATCACCATTTGGTACTAGAATACATGACCTTTGTGCTAAAGTAGAAGGTGATGTAGATATGAATCTCAATGTCACATAAAAGACATATCATCCAAGGCAATAATAATTCTTATTTAACAGTGTCCTCAGATTTAGGTATTTGATATATTCAACCTTAGACAGTTACCTGCTTTGACATTTACCAACTCAAGACACAAGTACCTGAGTCCCATATAATATGGCTGACAAACCATCCTAGATCATTTATTTGATTGGTAGCATATCCCAAAATAGGTATAGCAAGATAAATTAGTATTTAATTAAACCAAGCGCTTCCTTTTGAAAAGAAGAGAAGAAAGGTTATAAAAAAACAATAGATCTACTAAACTTTCTAAAAGAATCTGGCCAGGTTTCAGTCCTAAAAAAGTGTCAAAAAGAAAGAAAAATTGAATTAGATAAGGTCATTTTCTTTGTTGAATAAAGCCCTCTTGTGAGCAATTTGGGAGGGTTGTGTACTTTCAATAACCTATTAAATAAGCCATGCTTAAGCTTTAATCCTGGGATTATTTCCTTGACACACTGAACTTGTTTTGCTTGAGTTAATATGAAGAGTAGATCTTTCAATGTACCTTTATTATAATGCTTGCTTTGCTTGGTTTAATTTTGACAACTTTACAACTTGCTTTATATTAATTCTCTTATTTCAACTATTACATCTTTGTAGATCAAAGCTAGAATTGCGGGTTGCTGTTGCCGTTACTTTTTTTGTTGCCGCTATATTTTTTGTATGGCTCATGAAGAAGTTGCAAGAAGATACGAAGAATTTTTGTTTTATTTTATTTTGGTTAAGTAAATATATAAGGTGTGGATCATGTACTTATTTGAAATTTGTATATGGCTAATTTTTGTATAAAACAATGATTTAGAATTGGTTTTATATATATATGTGTGATGTTATTGGTCAGTTGTAAAATTATTTTGGTTATGATGCTATTTTTTATTTACATAGGGTTTGATTATGGGGTCCTTGCAAGACTATTAGTAGGAAAAAAAAAAAAAAAAAAAAGGCTTCAAATGGGTTACACTATTTAAAAATAAAAAAATAAAAAAAATAAAAAAATTGTATAACACTTTATACCACAGTTATGCACCGTGGTAGAAAGTCTATTACTTTATGAGAAAATAGATTTTCTACCACGGTTCCGCACCGTGGTAGAAAGTCGGTGCAAAACCGTGGTAGAGAGTCGAACCGTGGTAGAAAGTTTTTCCACCGTGATAAAAAGTCATTTTTCTTGTAGTGAGTATATATGTATAGATACATTATACATACAATGATATATACATATATATATATAGATGTTTGATAATACTCAGTTAAGTAAAGAATTAGTGATGGTCTCAATTTGTTCTACTTTTAAAAGATAAAGTTTCATTAGGTTTCAAATCTTCTTCTTCTTTTTTATTTATTTATTTATTTTTTTTTAAAATATAAGTGATAGAGTCATGATTTTTATTTTTTGTTTTGTGTATATGATAAATGTGCTATTAAAAAATTTTAAATATAACAGGAGAGCTGAAAAGTATGTATCAAAGGTCTAATATGATGCCTGTTGGTTGTACTTTCTTGGTTGGATTTTTTTTTCTTTTTTCTTTTCTTTTCAAATTCAAGTTAACTTTATAAGAGATAAAAAACTCATGCTTAATATTCAAAAGATTTTCAACACACCTTCTTGTCACCATCAATATAACATTTGTATGACTTTCGTAACATTATATACACTACAACAAATGTGGCCATTTGCAACTCCAAAAGGCATTGTAAAAACTCAAAATTGGTGCAGAAAAATGTATCAGCAACCCATAAGGGAGTCGTATATTGAGTCGGCATTGGTTTCTGTTGGGAATAAGGTTGTTGAGTATTTACGACACTATTGGCGCAGGACACGAGTCCTGCTATTTAGCTTGACAAATAAAAATTTATGTGATTATTTATATGTCATATATAATGGAACCATATTAAAATATAAGGTAATAAACTATTTAGAAAGTTGTAGACTTTTTTTTTATGTTTTATCTTAATCTAGCATATATATCAAATTGTGTATCTATTATATATATATACAGATCACATTGCATCTCTCTAAGAACTCTTGAGATACTTTAGACATATCTTATACATAATTAGATTGTGTATCCCTCTTTATATATAAAATATTGTGTTTTTTATCATTAATATACATCAAATACTTTGATAAGCATTTGTTAATTGCCATGATGATCAAAGATGATGATCTATTGACAGAAACAAAAATAAGGAGAGAATTTTAAATTTTTTTTTGCAAAGTATTGAAAAATTGTAAAAAAAACATTGCAATTTTTGTTTTAAATTTTGAACAAAATATATTTGAATACCATGAAACTTGATGTGAAAACGAAAAGAAGAAGAGGATGATACAACAATAAATGAAAAACTAAAAAGATAAGGAAATGGGTTATGAAAAACTGACAAATAAGGAAAGAAAAATAGATGTATTATGGAAACAAAAAATAGAATAGTAATGATGCATATTAAATAACCACCAATTTTAAACCATGAAACTTGACGTGAAAAAGAAAAGAACAAGAAGAAGATGATGATGATGATACAACTATAAATGGAAAACTAAAAAGATAAGGAAATAAGGTATGAAAAATAAGAAAGGAAAAATAGACATATTTTATGGAAACAAAATAGAATAGTAATGATGCATATTAAAGTTGAAATTTTAGAATAATTGCGTCATATTTTATCTGTGTAGGTTTTAATCAGAGTTTTAAAACAGTCAAAAATATCATTTTCCTTTACTATAAATAGTATTGAAAATTATATCTTTGAGTTGACTTGGTAATTGAGGCAGATTTATTGGGTTTCTAACTTTCTTTTTATGCCAGTGTTTGGCCTTTTGTTTACGGATTTGTGTTTTTTTCGGTTCTCTTCATATTTGTATTTTTTCTTATTTATATAATATTAGTCAGACTTTCCAACTGAGTAAGCAAAGATGGTGGGACTGTCCGGAGTAAGCCAATTTTACCATTACTTATCCAGGAAAGCTATGTATTCGTACCCATCTAAAGTCAAACCCTACCGCTAATTCACCTTTTGTTTTCTTTCTTTTTGTTGATTGATATTGATGGGGATTTCGGTGTCGTCTTATCATTGAACCACACTGTGTTTTTATAATATATTAAAAAATAATTTACTAAAGCTATATCAAATCTAATTATGGGATCCACTCCAGATATGGCTCAATAGTTTATTTGCTGGACTTCGGTTGGAATTTAACAAGTCCAAAGTACGGGGTTTGAGGTGTTCTTTGTGATTAGCCTCCGCTACCCCTGTAACGATTTGCGCTCTTCTGAGTTTTCGGGGATTAATCGAGTTATTGAGGGGTCCTAATGGTTCATGCCATTCCAGACAAAATGAATAAATTCTAATTATACAAAAATTTAAAATTTGGCGACCAAAATTAAAAATATAAATAAATATTGCTTTATATGCTAATAATTGATAATTGAATAAGTAGAATCAATTTCAGCAAAAATTACATGACAGATACTCCATAAAATGAAATAAACCCTGATCATATTGTTGAGCATAATCTTAATGAGAATGGTGGCCTAAACCATCTAATAAAAAAGAGCTTTCTACTATATATAAATATGCTAATTAATTGTCAATTCTCTTGAATATTGGATCTTGCATTGCTTGGAGTGATCACCTAAATTTGATGTGCTTCTTGTTGTTGTGTTATCAAAAAAAAATACGATCTTGACATCCTTACAAATGACCCTCATATTTAGCCGTTTGTTACCATAACAGCGCCCTACACTAATCATGACAAGATCATCTATGGTCACAATAAACTTAATTACACCACCATTATTTGACCAATACTCCACCAAAATATCATTGGCCATAGACAATGACGAGGTAGCACCTAGGGATCTTTTGTCCTTTGGCAATTGATAGAAAGGTGTAATAGCAGCTGCAGCTGTAAAGGACGAGAGATTAACCTCTTTGTAGAAGATCGAAACATTAATAACTTGTTCATGAATAAATTTTGCAAAACTGTTAGGGTTCCGAACCACTAAAGTCGTATTCCAACTTATCACAGTAGTATTCGCATTTACATGGGAGTTCATGTTGAATGGATAGGCAATGGAAAGTGAATGAAGATGGAATATTGGCGGGCGTGGTAGATAGTGCCATAATACAAACATTGAACTACCACCCATAACGGCGACCATACTTCCCAGAGTGCATAACAAGCATAGAGGAACGGTTTTATCTACCAGGGGCGGCACATCAGTGGGTTCAGGGGTGTTGTTCAAAGGGTAAACTGCGGCCATGTTAATTTTGGTGTGACGTTGATCTTCCATTGCTTTGCTTGACTAAAGGTAATAATTCGTAACTATATAATAGGGCTTCTTAGAGAAGAATATACATATAGATACATCATACTGGGATCAATTGCTCTAGCATAGAGTGTATACTCACTTTTAATCTTGACCTTAGAATCTAATCATACGGTAATTAATTAGTCAGTGTTTGGTTTTTATATTTAAGGCAATTACTTCTTTTTTGAGATACAATTCTATATTATTAATATGAAATGACAATACTATACAAGTTTTTAATGGAAACAAATTAAATCAAATTAAAACCAAATTGGAAAAATTTAAAACAAATTAAAAGATATGGTTTGAGAATTCAGATAAGAAGGAATTCGTATAAAAGATATTAAAAAAATCATAACCAATTTTGATTTAATTTATTTCCATTAAACCCTAAATCCTAAAACCCTAAACCCTAAATCCTAAAACCTAGAACCCTAAACCCTATTTTTTTATTTTTAATTGGTATGGTTTGAGAATTCCGATGGGAAGGAATTCGTATAAAAGATATAAAAGAAAATCCTAACCAATTTTGATTTAATTTGTTTCCATTAAAAACTTGTACAGTTTTGTCATTTCCTATTAATAATATAGAATTGTTATCTCAAAAAAGAAGCAATAGCCTTAAATATAAAAACTAAACACTGACTAATGAATTACGGTAGGATTAGATTCTAAGGACAAGATTAAAAGTGAGTATACTATTCTAAGGTCAAGATTAAAAGTGAGTATACTACTCTACGCTTTCAGGGAGCAATTGAATACCACTATATATATATATAGAGAGAGATAATTCTATAAAAATGGAGTTTTTAGGGTAAAGGACAAAAGAATAAAGCCAAAATCAAATTTTCTAAATTAATGGAATTTTATGAAAGTATGACATAAACATGGAAAATTACTGTACATTATCTTTTGGGGTCAAAGGACAAAAAAAATAAAGTCAAAATTAAATTTTCCAAATTAATGAAATTTTTTAAAAGACTGACGTGGACATGAAAATTTATTGTACATCATTTTTTTTATTTCCAAAACACCCTTCTCTCATATCTAGAGAGAGAAACCCATCTATATCTATGACAACCCTTCTTTCCAAACAACCAAGAATCCTATCTGCCATTTTTCTCTTTCACCCACCTTACCAGCAAACTCATTCAAAAAAAAAAACACAACAAAAAATCTTTGTTTTCCCTCCCACGTTCCCTCCAAAACATCTTTTCCTCCAAACTCGATTTAAACCCAAAATCCATATCAAACAAAAGAAAAATCAAGATCCAAGCGAAGATTCAAAAACCAAACACTAAACATCATGAAAAAACCAACACAATCCTCTATAATGGTCGGTCCATGGGTCGGCAATACAAAAGGTTGATGCAAGTTGTGGATCCACAAGAAATCTTCAAGTGGGTTTGTGAAATCCAAGTCACACCATAAAAACTGGAATATTCACAAATGAGAACTAGGCATCTTTCCATTTTTCTTGAAGGTTTAAAATATCAAATTAGGAAATATCTACCTTTTTTCTTCTTTTTTTTTCAA